CCCAGCAAGCTGGCTCGGCGGGGTCATGACTAATCTAAGGTTCTTCGTGTTATTCCTCAGTCCCTTAAAGCAAATTCCGGATAGTACCTTGAAATGAAACCACCACCGTTTCCTTCCACATCCATTCCAATTCATTATTCACTGACACCCGATCATTACATGTTATGCAGTATGAGTTACAGACAATTTGGTTAAATATTCTACAAATACAAAGTCAATAGGAAGTCCGTCGAGTGTAACAATTTTTTGGTCACTTCTTTATCACTTCTGCCTTACATGTTTCGGTTTGACACAACCATCATCAGAGGCACTTACTACAGTTATGAAAACACTGTCGTTGTTTATGATGTTCACAGTTATGTTTGTTGTGTGGACGCTGCTACAATATGTTGACGTGTAAAAGCACAACACTTGCTAGGATAGTTGAGTACACTATCAATTCTCACTTTCCATCCGAAACTGTTTTTTAAGTTAAAACGCTAATGTTAAAATATTTAAAACATTTGATGTAAAATGCTAAGCTCCACCTTGTTAATTCATCCCGAAGATGGGAGATGTCAGCTTGAGGTTGTATGGCTTATGGTTAGATGTTTCCTATGTGCTGTGTGTTGTGTACAAGGTGAATTAACAAGGTGGAGCTTAGCATTTTACATCAAATGTTTTAAATATTTTAACATTAGCGTTTTAACTTAAAAAACAGTTTCGGATGGAAAGTGAGAATTGATAGTGTACTCAACTATCCTAGCAAGTGTTGTGCTTTTACACGTCAACATATTGTAGCAGCGTCCACACAACAAACATAACTGTGAACATCATAAAGAACGACAGTGTTTTCATAATTGTAGTAAGTGCCTCTGATGATGGTTGTATCAAACCGAAACATGTAAGGCAGAAGTGATAAAGAAGTGACCTACAAATTGTTACACTCGACGGACTTTCTGTTAACTTTGTGATTGATAGTGTAACGGACCAAAAATGAAACAATTCTACAAATAAATAAATGAAATCATATGTTCACACGAGCAACAAAAGTACACACACTACTGCAAAGCGCCCTTCTAAACAATAAGAAGTGAACAAATAAAGGGCAAATCGTGTCCAACAACGCATTTCGTTTCCAAAGCTACTATACAAATTTGCTGAAATTTAGAACCGTCTGCAGAAAAGAAGCATAGGCTGAAAAAAGATCCAGCGCTAGAAAACGCCTGGAAGTGTGATACTCATAGTTACCTAACAGCCTATCGCAAATCGTCCGGCCGGTCCAGCGAAAGTGACATAAGTACCTTACTTCAACTCGTTCCGCGCTTGCGGAACCGCAGCACATTCGACCAAACCCACGTGACGACAAATCTCATACAAAATCCAACCAGACAACAGCAGATGCCGGAAATGGTCTGTGTTCTTATCCACGCATCCCTTGCTCCTCGGTAGATGCTCACATTCACTATTTGGGGTTCTACTTCAGACGCAGCGACCTTGAAGTCTGAACCCTGGCCTCCTCCGCAAGGTGTCGTGTGGATTTTCAAAGAAATGTTCAATCCTAGCACCGACTTCATCCAATTTCTCTTCAGTGAGAACTCGGCGTTTCGGTTCGGTTATTTTTAGCCAATGATGATCCCGTCTCTCTAAACTTATTTATAATTGAACATTTCTTCTTTTCCATTTGGAACAGTAACATCCTGAAATTCAAGCTTATCCCTTCCGCAAGACCAGCCGAAATACCTGGGGCAGGCTCTAAGATAACCTCCATGTGCAATAAATATGAAAGTGGTTGCTACTGAAAGATGGAGACCTACTACGATTGGAATTACAGATATTTCCACTTCACCGCATACTACGAGTGGCAATACAGATTTTTGCATGACACCGCATTGTTTATATAGGTGTACGAAGCAGTCACAGCACACACCTGCAGGCCTCTCGATCTGTGTATTTTTTAACTCTTTGCCACCAGCAACAAGAATGTCAGGTAGAACATACAACTATTCATATATTCTAAGCGAGAAGTTCTAAGAAGAACTAATAGTCTTTCCTTGCTACGACATGAACCGCACATAAAAACGTCGCATTCAACAATTCTTCTGTTGCTGAGTATTCATTGCCGCAGTAACGTTTCTACAGAGCCATTACCTAACAACGATGGGAGGATACATACGTAAACACACAGACTGCTGGGAAGGATTTTGGGGTCGAATACCTCCAGCGTGACCCTGCGGGTCGTAGGAGGCGACGAAAAGGGAAGTCTCAAATCTGAGACAGTAAAATATGGTCAGGAATCCCAAGGGACTCAGACCCGATAAAGACTGCGCTGGCAAAGACCAGCTGCATATACAAAATACAGACCCATCCTCTCGTAAGAAAGGGGGCCCCACGAAAACAAGACTATAACTATCAAACAGCAATAAATATCTGGGGCTCGACATCAAGAATTACTGACTGACTGACCGTCAGTCGCAATGTGACTTTGACTTTGGAAGGATTTAAGAAGTACACTGTTGAGATGGGCTCACCGACATTAATAAAGACGGTTCAGCCATTCAAAAGCTGATGGGAGAAGGGGATTCACAGAGAGACAGCCAGCATGGAGATCACATGATTGTTTTCATTTTTTCGAAATAAAGAAAGCGGGCTAAACATGAACCTGTGAAAGAAAAATTCAATATACGAATACATTTTAGGATATCAAGCAACAGTGAACTCTGTGGCTTTCAGACCTGCAGGTCACATACCAGTGGTGATATCTGGAAGGCAGCACAGGGCTGTAGTTAGAATGGAAGACAAGGAACAAATGTGATGCTTGCAGTTGAGAAACCTCTTTGAAAACAGCACGTACAATAACCATTACAGTAGGAGAGTAGGATGCGAGGACGGAAGATAGAGGGACCTATTCAGTATCGTGTCCAGTGAAAGGCTTCTGTATGTTGCTACTGAAACTCTGGTTTATGGTGAGATGTTTTAACTGGATTAAATAGAATTCAGTTCTAATAACATGTTTTACTTTTAAGTGCAGGCATATATTAACACTCTGATCATACGTACCCGGCCCAACTGTAGTAGTGTATGAAGATTTACGCTTAGGAATCAGTTTTGTTCTGCTGGAAGCTGCGTGTTAGAAAGTGTACCTACACGGCACGGGGCTGAAAATTTCTTGAGATGTGACACTGAAGAGATGGTTATCAAACACAACAGTATTTGCATAAACCTTGAGGCTATCGATCGAAGTCCCAAAACTTTACTGTTGATAAGTCAAATACGCTACTATATTTTGCGGCTATTTTCACTATTTTGCAGTCCATACTGCGCAAATCTTGAATAGACACAGGCTCGCGTCATTTTACCAATCTGTTACCAATATTATGGAAGTCACCGATCCACACGAACATAAGCTTTCTTTTGAGATTGCTGTCATAACTACGATATCTACTGAAATACGTTTAATACACAAAAATTTTAAATTAAACTATAATAACAATTGCCGGCACACCCGTACGACAACGCTCGCGTCTATAATATACTTCGCTTTACTGGCATGTACTCGTAAATGCTACCGTCTCTTCGTGTGCATAGAGTTTTGTGAAAGCTGTTATCACTTATCACTGGGCAAACCGCTTTACGTTAAAACTTTTCTGTTTGTGAAATTTTCTCTTATCATAGACCACACTTGTAAAGAGCTTCAATTATGGCAGTCGACTTGTGTTATCGCACAGGACGCCAGCTTAACTTACACATTCTTGTTAAAACAATGCCATTGTTTCTTGAGAGGTTTCTTTGTTTCTATTACGTCATATGCATTAATATAAAGAATTCCATTCTTGCAACGTACAAATAAAATTAAAAGCCGGCACTTTACCGCTATATAACGTTTCTGCGGCATGGCACAGAACAAACAAAAGTGACTTCATTCATCCCCTACTTAACTTTCAACAAGCGCAGTATGGTTATAGTGTGACACTGAAGAAACACACCAATCAGGGCTTTAGAAAATGCTTTAGTAAGTACAGTACGGCTACTGTGTGGTACAGAACACGCGCATCTAATGATTAATCTTCGGCAGTAGTACAAATCACAGTATGACGCAGACCAACCAACCAACAACGGTTAGTCGCTGGCTTCCCATCGCGGCGGCCCGGGTTCGATCCCGGGTCTGGTCAAGTGGGATTTGTGGTGGACAAAGTGGCGCTGGAGTAGGTTTTTCCCCTGCCAATCTTCATTCCACCAATTGCTCCACAATCACCCTCACCTATCATCTGGGGCTGGTACAATAGGCCAGAAGTGGCCGCAGTACAAGGGACTTAGTCCCACCCCACTAGCAATAAAAAAGAACCAAGGCGACCACAGTGTATCACAAACACAAATAAGTGCCAGGACTTCATTCGTCGCTACACAGCAGTCACAGTAGGGCTATGCGATGCGGAGAACAAACAACTATAAAACAGTTTCATTTGTGGCTGGGTGAAGCTTCAGAAACCAGTATGAACACACGGTAGCACTGAAGAAACACGTCGTGCATCGCTAGATGAAGCGTTAGCAGTCCTCGTAACATTATCATGTCTTACAGAGAAAACATAACGGACCGGACATGTTTCACCGCTATATAAAGCCTCAACAATGCTGAAAAATATCATGACCTTATACAGCTGGTTGTTATCTCTGCGTCGGCTATCAGCTCTCTCGTCATCACGTCCTTCCTATTTTAATGGGATAACAAATGACCTACGGTCACGGTTTCACTGGGGAATATGTCAGCTCGAGTAGTACCATGCCTTACACTGTTCAGCCTGCTGTTTCCTCGCAAGTCACCTAGTCTTTTATACTTTGTCCTCATCACAATATTATATTTCAGCATCCTGTTGCATTGAAGTATCGAAACTAAACGTTACTCTTATCAATGGAACAAAAGCAATATAACACATAATTAAACCAAAAGTGCGTGTATATATAAAGCGATCTTCCAAAACGAGTAAAAAGCCCACAAAAATATTATAAAACAATTAAATTACACATCTATACGTGCCAGGAAGAACAGTATACTTTACTCTTCGTTTTCCTCCTTCGACACAGTCACGACGTCTGACGTCACTGAACTTATATACCAAACTACACCTTATTCCTCAACACTCCAACACACAATTGACAACATGCGGCTTGCGGCTACATGCCGTAATCAGAATCAAAGCGTGCGCGCGCTGTCCTTCTCCTTTCTCCCCCCAACCGGTCCTTCCTCTCCGACCCATCGAACGCCCCTACTGCCATGTAATTGACTGTTGCATAGGAAGGCAATATCTGTTCTTACAGCTAATCACGATAAAGCAGTTACGTAGACAAGTTATGTACCCCCTGCGACCTCAAGCACAACTGTTGTGTTTATAAATGGTTGGCCTCATCGCAAAATGCAGTATTTGTCTAAAGCAAGTGTGGCAGTACTGCACAACACAACAAAGCCCAATAAACAGCCTCAGATCCACACACAAGACACTTGAAACCACCGAAACTAGTTGAAACTAGTTAGTTAGTTATTGGAGAGGGTGGGTTTCCCCATGCACTGAGACCTGTATTGGTCCATTGTGCTTCCCTCTATGATTTCTACCAGTCTCTACATCCTACCGGTACTGGTGCTTACCATCAGTCCCGCACAGCCAGCGAGACCGGTTCTACTAGCTGAGAGGTATCTATAATGCTTCCCCCCTCTACCAGAGGTATTAAGAGACTGCTGTTGGGCGGGAAACGTCAGTTAATTTGGCTCAGTGACCTCCTTTGGAGATATGAGGTTCTTTTACGTGCCGTAAAGCTACGACACGGGACCCACGGCTTAAAGTCCCTCCCGGAGGACTTGCTCCCTGAATTTTTCCGCCCTTAAAAATTCGACGACCTCCGCCGGGTATTTGAACCCGCGTACTACGAGTCATGAGGTGGGAACTAGTTAGTCGGCAGACCGGAATTGCTGGAGCTCCCACAAATGAATTCCTCAAACGAAAAAAAAAAATGAATTTCAAATAACATTCTCATAATATTTATATCAAAATTTTACGCTATACAAACCAAACACATTTACATTTAAACCCCTAAATTACACTCATATATATATATAGACCCATGTTTTCTTGACCTCGGCACCAGTTGCTAGTGAGTGGTCAGCTTCACGCCCCGGCCGTTCTGTCTGAGATGTTGGCTCTGCGAAACCGAACGTTGAGATTCGGTTCAAAAACTTTGTTTTTACCCGATCTGACTAGTGTCTGGAAAAGTTTAATTAGGCCTATCGCGTTTGCGCAGCGTTGTTGGTCATTATGAACACCGTAATGACAGAGTTTCTGATGCAATAATCAAGACTTTTTTCCCCATTGGCACTACAGCCCCAGTGGGCCTAGGCCTACCTCCATGAACTTCTCCGTTCACTTCGGTTTTTCTATATCTTACACATTCGGTAGGATTCCTTGGGCGGGTGATCAGCTCGACGCAAGGCCTCTAACTGTACACAAACACAGAAAAACACACACACACACACAAACTAAACATCCTGACCTGAGTGGGATTCGAAACCACGATCCCGGTTTCCAAGCGAGCGAAGACAGTACATGCCTTAGACCACTCGGCTACCGTGACCGGCCGACGTACAATTACCAGTTCTTTATCAATAAGAACAATGAAGTGTTACAGATGTTTTCGTGGTATATTATTATCAATAAGTTCCATAAATTTCAAGGAGACAAATACTGCATTTATTGTCTCATTTAAGTTCTCTGAAATATATAGTGCTGCAGAGCGACAGGTGCACAGCTGGCTTTTTCCAAGTACTTCCAATTGAAGAGCGCTACATAACGTCACATCCCACAAAAATGTACTCTTCATAGGCAAAGCTCTGAGAACCTGAGATCCAACCTGATTATTAAATTGTAGGATTTAAGGTTCTCATTGCGGTGGTTATGAAGAGTTCTACCTTCTGGGATGAGAGTCAACCGACGTTTCAGAAGAACAAATTAAGTCTGCTCGCTAGGCCGCGCCATAGCTCAAGCGGTTAGTCGCTGGCTTCCTACCACGGCGGCCCGGGTTTGATCCCGGGTCTGGTCAAGTGGGATTTGTGGTGGACATAGTGGCGCTGGGGCAGGTTTTCTCCAAGTACTTCGGTTTCCCCTGCCAATCTTCATTCCACCAATTGCTCCACAATCGCCCTCACCTATCATCTGGGGCTGGTACAATAGGCCAGAAGTGGCCAGAAGTAGCTTACTCTTCGACTCTGAAAATGGGGATATGTTCCTCAGAAACGTCGACTGATTTTCAACGGACTACACGGCATTATAACCCAGTAGAACTTTATTAAACTGTTTACGTCAACAGTTCTCAACATTTTCTGATTCGGTGGGGCGGCAAAGCGACCGCCTCTGTGGTCTAGTGGTCAGCGTTCCTGGCTACAGATGCAGAGGTCCGGGTTCGATTGCCTGCTCTACCATATTTTTTCGGAGAAGTAGTGGGTCTGGAACGGGGTCCACTCAGCCTCATGATGATAATTGAGGAGCTATTTAAAGGAAATAGCGGCTCCGGTCTAGAAAACTGAAATTAACGGCCGTGAGGATTCGTTGCACTGACCACGCGACACCCTCTATCCGCAAAAGTTGGCACTAACTTCGCCGACAAGCGGCGGTCGCTCGTTCGGTGTAGTTCGCTTGCGGACTAAAATCATGGAGTTTGTTTGTTTGCGTCGGCAAAGCAGCAGTGAGTGTCTTACACGACTGTTCCTCTGTCTGTGTCACATTGTCTGTAGACACGAACAGCGAGAGCCTAGACGATTGCGGTTGCCCTGTCTGCCGCTGCGGCGGGAGGATTTAAACTTGGCGGTAGTGAGATGCATATCGCAAACAACGTGACGCTGGTGATCCAGCGCTAGCGACGGCACAATTTTGACATGCAAACAAAAGTAAACTCCGTTGTTTTAATCCGCAAGCGAACTATACCGACCGAGCGACTGCCGCTTTTCGGCGAAGTTAGTGCCAATTTTAGCGGATAGAGGGTGCCACGTGGTCAACGCAACGAATCACCACGACCGTTAAACTCGGTTTTCTAGACAGCAGCCGCTACTTTTCCATTCATGTAGCTCCTCAGTTATCATCACGAGGCTGAGTGGACCCCGTTCCAGACCCACTATCTGGTAGCTCCGGGAATCGAACCCGGACCTCTTGATCTGTAGCCAGGAACTCTGACCACTAGACCACAGAGGCACGAACGATAAAAGCAAAACATGCTGACTAATTCCATATAGCTGAATCCTTCTTGAGAAACCGCCAGTCGCTCTGCTATTCGAGAATTTCCCAAAATTTTATGAAACCCAAAGGTTTATTTGTATGTTCACAAAAGAGCCCTCCACTGGTCTCTATCCTCAGCCAGATTAATCCAGTTCATACCATCCCACCCAATTTTTTCTAAGATTCATCTTAATATTAACCTCCTACCTACGTCTGGGCCTTCCTAATGGTCTCTTTCCTTCTGGTTTTCCCAGCAATCTTCTTCTCCTTCATACATGCTGCATGCCCTGCCCCGTCTCATCTTCCTTGACTTGATCATTCTAAGTTTACTGGCAAAGACTACAAGTTCGCATGCTTCTTAACGAAAGAATACTTAACGCCTTTAAATGGTATTAAAATCGAAGAAACACGACAGACCTTGAACATTCGCAATTGAAGCTTAAACATGAGGACATACAAAGTAATCTCTCGTCCGAGAACATTAAGTTGTAACGCGGATTCGGTTCTTCATTTCTGATCGAACCCCAAACCCATATCTTCATCACCGTATCACCGAATGCCGCAAAATAAAGCCAAGTGAAAAAACAGTAACAGTCAACATAAACAGTCTAGTAATGTCTTTAGGCGAACGAAACTAAAAACAAACAGTTGAGCCGAAGAAAGCAGTCTTCTGGGATATGGTGCCATGTAGATATTGTGTTAACCGACGTTTCGAAGGATCGTATCGCCTCCATCTTCAGGGTAGAAGAAAAAAGAAGAAAATCCGCAAGCGAATAACAAGCGGGAGCAGGTTTAGACTAATTTGTCTATTTCCATCTGCTCACGCTGGTTATTCGCTTGCGGCGCCATATCGCAGAAGACTGCTTTCTCCATAGTCACCGCCGTGAAAACCTCAAATCTTACAAACAGTTGAATCATTCGGTCTGTGTCGGCCTGAGAAATTACACGACTCAAATCTCAAGAAATACCTCAACGTCTCTGGCAATTCTAAACCTGACGGCAGGTGCTGCGCCACTGGCGAGACGCAACTTAGGCCACTATCAGCGGAATAGCGACTGTTCCCTACAGACGCGGCATCGCGTGCGGATATGAGGTTGGGCTCATCCGAGCTCGCAATCAGCGGTTACACGTGGGATCTCCACTGCCAAATCACCAGTCACCAGATCCTCTGAGTGTGCTCACACTCTGCGACTCCGCCGGGCACTGCGCGGATGGTGTGCGTTAATTACGTCACACAGACTCGCATACGCTGGCAATGAGGAGGGTCTGTGCACTCTTAGGTAGGTCGCACACCGGCGTACGTCAAGACATGTAACAGTCAAGACACGATGTCTGCGACATGACGCAAAGAAAGGAGCGTAGTTAAAACGAATGAGATTATGAAAAATGCCGCACATCGGTCTGAGTCATGATGCTGACGAATCACGAATGAAGCAAGACTGCGTCTTTTGTCTCATGTCTTGATACTTGTCTTGAAGCACTTGGTGTGCGGCCGCCCTTACTTGTTCTCCGTAGAGAGACAAGTTGGGAAAAGTGCCGAAACCAAGGGGCAGCACTTGATGTATGGGAGCTCCGCACTTGTGAGAAGACTAAGTTTACAGTCATAATAACCGACATGTAAATGACTCTAGAAAAGAGGGACTGCTGTGATAGTCCTTGTATCTGACTGATTTGGTGAAAATTCTTGGTACTCTTCCTTCATATCCGTGAGGTACTCAGTTTGAATCTCGGGCGGAACACTGGCTATTCCTCGGTCCCAACGGAAAAATTCCGAAATAGGCCACTACCAATTCCTCCCAAATTCACCGTATCTCTTTCGTCACCTTACCATTCGACGCTATAAATTCTCTATTTTCAGAGCGTCGTTAAAAAACTCGCAAAAAATTAAGGAAGGAAAATTTATTCGCCAGCGACAAGCCAGGTTGCTTAGCGGTGAGCCAGTGAAGGTATAAATTTTCATATTTGGAGGCTCGAAGTCTCGATTTCCGAAAGAGGAATGAAAGGACGCCGCAGGAGCCCAAGAGATTTTCGAATTGGCTTCTGGACACTTACGACACAAAGTCCACGAAGATGGCGGTTCTCCTCCTCCATACAGTCTGTTCCACTCCTCGTTCTATAGCTAATGATTGCATTTAGTAGTCTATCCTCCTACATTCTTGCAATATGCCCTCACGATTGTATTCTAGTATATTTGTCTTTTACGGGCTATATTTGT